CAGAGCACTTTCCAAGGACAAAAAAATCTTCTTTCTGTGATTGGCTGAATCAAAGACCTGATCTAGAAATTTGAGATTAACTTTGGAAGGGATTCTTGTCATCAAGTGGCAACAGTTTAAATAATTATCAGGTGCTGCCATGGGCTTCTACTAATGGGAGTTCAAACTGATGTGGTGTACTGATTTTTGTCAATGCCTTTAGGTACTGTAAATATAAGTTCAATCATATTGTTGGTTCTAAGCACAAGAAAAATAGCTAGCAAGTCAGAAAACTTGAGATGGGACTTAACAGTACTTCCTAAAATGTTTTTTGCAGGAGATAATATGGGAGGATGTCTTGGGCTTGAAACTGCTAGGTTACGTTGTTCAAAAATCCTTTTGCAAGGATTTTTCATTCAAGAATAAACCTCAGAATAAAAAGGGGACTGAGGAAATGACATTTACTAGTTGAATACAGGATCCTGTGTAACAGTGTAGTGAAAATTCCATATGGCATATAATCCTCAGATCATTTTACAATACACAGTATTACATACAGTATGTACCAATTAAGAGTTAAGTAGCCATTTGTGTAACATGTAGGTGAAGTTTAATAATTCAAGAGGTCATGAATAGCTTTAAATGAAGTGGGAGGATTAGACCTTAAACTGAGCACATATCAGCACCATGAAGAATCAACACTGCTCAGTGATCGCTCTGTCACATTTTTGTAGATTTAGACAATAAGAAAATAGTTCTGCAGTTGTAGGTGACTTCTAATGCTAATGTTTAATTGCTTTATTGTGTAAAATGTGTATTTAAACTCTTAACAGTCCGTTTAACCTTGAGATATTGGAGGGAGAGTTAAGCAATCTGACCAGCTGTTTCCAAAAACCTGGAGTGGTGACATTGTGAACACCGGTTGTGATGCTGCTCTTTTCCCTTAACTGGTGGTGGGCATGACATCAGGTGTGGCCTGGGAGTGCCAGATAATCACTGTGTCTTCAGGACAAGTTAAGGTTGCATGACTTTATAATAGGAAAAGGGTAAATGAAGTTAGATATCAGAAGGCTATAAGGACTGTTTTAACTTGTGCTACTGAACCTTTAAGCTAGACTATATTTTAAAACTTACGATCTGTAAGACTCTATGTGGGATACACCCTTATTCCTTGACAAGGAGTAGATTCACGTAGAAATTATAGTAGGTGGATAGGTATACTCCCATTAATAAGTGCGTTAACTTCTTGCCTTTTGCACAGGTGTGTGCAGGATATAGGACTAAAATACTTATTTAAAAAAAAATATTGTTCAGGTTATGAAAGTACTGCTTCAGAGCAGTTTTGTTTCATGGAGAGGGAAAACCTATTTAGGCTTTGAGTAAATGAGAAATATACCAGAGGCAAAATATATAAGTATAAAGGAAAAAGAACCAACAAACCCAAAATAAACAAAACCCAAATAATAAACCCAAAATAAACATAAGCTGAGCTGGGCTCTGAAGTGGCAAAGGACAAATTCTGTTAGTGCTTTTCAAATCAGATGGCAGAAGGTTTTTAAGACTTACTGGGTCTTGGAAGTTAAACAACCAACCTCAGGTGATGTAGCATAACAACAGTGTGGTGTTTTCTGCTTAAATTTATGTTGCTGTTTGGGTTTGTTTTTAATGGTGATCCCACAATAAACAGTAGTGAGGAATGTAACGTAATGGATTTGCACCATAGATGCTTAAAAATAGAAATTATCCCTGGAACTCTTAGACAAATCTAAAGGAACAAGTACAAAATGTGTCTTTGCACATAAGGAGAAGGGTATGGGAAAACTGGAAGAAGTTTCTGCTTGCCTGAACTGCTACACCCATGTTCTCCCTGTTGGTTTGATAGCAGAAGTGCTTGTTAAAGCACTGGAGAAGTGGACTTTGCCCTGGTCTGTCTCTTAAAGGTGCTTAGTTCCTCTCTAGAAAGCACGTCGTTAGTAATGGTTTAATCACAGAGGGAAAAATCTTGCTATTTGTTTACCTGATGAGGGAGTTTTCTGAATAGTTGTAAACTTTGCAGGTATTGTTGTGACTTATGCTGACATTAAAAACAGTTGAATTGTTTGCTCGTGGCATTTCTTAAAAAAACAAAACAAAACAACTTACTGTAATTCCCTCTCCCTGTACTTGGTTCCAGGGAATGTTAAAAAGAGGATTGTCTTGGCATAGTTTTAAGTCTGGATCCAAGCATGTTGAATAACTTTGTCCCAGGAGAATTAATAAAAATGCAGCAGATGGCAGCAATGATGCATCAGACTTCCTGCCCTTAAGAACACTCTATCTGCAGGGTTAGGCTTCATGTATTGGATAAGCGGAGGGGGGGGCAGGGTAGTCTTCCTCTTTTCTTACCTTGCAGTTTCAAAGCAGACTTGCTGAGGAGGAGATGTATTCCCTAGCCAATTCAGCAATCTTTTTGTTACTGTCAGGGGATTAGTGGTGAATAGGAGGTTTCCCCTGGAAGTTAGCCAATACGGTTCTTTCACATATACAACTCTGAATCTGCCGATGGCATTTGAGTATATGGTAACCCGTGTTTAAGAATCTAAAGCACGTTATTGTTTTGTGATTTGTTTGTCTCATGAGCAGAATACTTGTCTGGGGAGAAAAAGCTACGTTGGCAGCTATGTTACAGCTTTGCACTTTTTTGCAAGGTATTAGAATATTTGAGTCATCTGTTACCCTACTTCTCTTTATAAATACTCTAACGCAAAGGCTTCAGAGAAGAGAAGCAATTCATGCTGTATAAGGAAGAGAGGTTCACCTCTAGTCTGTTTTATGCTGCTAAATGTGAACTCTTATTACTATTACTGCAGGAGTGCTTCATAGTGACTGCAGTGCAGACTGAAGTGAAACGTTTGAATTTCTAGAGTGCTTCTGCACTTGCTCAGTACTACCTTGTACTTGCAAGTTATTATTCTGAGTTTGTGAACAGTTTGGGATAGCAAGAGCTTGGGTTTTTTTTTTGATTCTTCTCTACCTGATTTTAATCCAGCCTGGTTCTGCTTACTATGGTTCAGTGCAGTATCATTGTTTTCCCAATCTTCAGATGACAAGTGGAAACAAAAAATGCTAGCTTCTCTTTTGGGTTAGTACTTTAAACAAATGTGAGCTTAGTTTACCAACTAGATATGAATGAGTGAAAGAGGAACTGATGCTTAATTGGTTTCTATGTTGATAGTAGTAGATTTTGTGTCAGAAGTGAAGGAGATTGAAAGGAAGAAGGAACTCTGGGCCCCACCTTTAGGTGGATTTTTTTTCTTGATATTTTGAAAACAAAGCAGAAATCTTGCAGTGTGGTGGTGACAGGGACCATATAGACAGCACAAATAAGACTGAATCGTGTCTTAAGCTTTGTAAAGGTTATGTGACTTAACCGTGAAAGCAGCTGTAGAATAAGTCACGATGACAATCCTGGAAAAGAAAAAAGTAGTGATAATGGACTATTAGAACATGGATCTTTGTGTGTTAAGCAGCCTTTACCCTGCAAGTATAGTTTACAGTAGAAATTAAAATAGATCTCTTACTAGTTAGGTGAAAGGCAACTGCTTTAATTAGCCTTAGTACCCCATATACTGCCACATGAATACAACGAAGGCAAGTTGCCAGGCTAACTTAAAACTCTGGTGCAAGTACATCTTAATTAAACTTGCCATAAGGTGCACAACCAATTGAAAAATAGCGCTCAGTTCAATGTACAGCTGGAAGAACATTTGAAATAGAGTTTAAGGGTCTGTCTTGTCTTACTTTCTTCTGTGTTTTTAGTATCTTTTAAGTAACAGAGTAGAGCAGTGCTATAGTGGTACAGTCTGCAAGCTCTCTGAAAGATGGGGTCAAAATTTGAAATAATAGCAATGGATTTGAGAGGGGGTCTGGGTGATGCAAGGTTACGTAAAGGCAAATAAGAACTCTGTTTAGAGCAGAAAAGGTTGCTGGGTATTTTCAGCTTTTTTAGTGGGTTTTTATTTTTGAAGAAACAACCACTTTTTTAGCCAGTAAAGGGACTTACAGTAGTAGAAGCCTTCGTATGTGTAAATACGTGTGTATAAAGATGTTCTAGCTGTCATAAGGTCAGAAAGAAGTCTGTTTATGTACAGCAACGAAAACTGGAGCCAGACTTTTGGAAGAAGTAGTATTTAGTCAAACTACCTTTTAAATCTGTCCAAGTTTTTTTTTTCTGAAAGAATACACAAATTTTTTGGAGGTTAAGTATAATTAATCCTGCCACAGTACCATGAGATGGCTAGATGATCTTGAGGCCCCTTACAGTGCTGTAAGTCACTGAGGGATTATGTATTCTTTTTTTCACACAGATAACGAATGAAAAAAAAAAAAAAAAGACTTGGAACAGAATTAGCTTCTGATAACGTACAATGACTGTTCAATGGAATACATGAGGTCTTATCTATCTTTAGCCTGTTTTTCCTAAAGAAGTAATCTTGGTGTAGGTCCAGCTCTGGGGGAAGGGAGGAGAAGGAGAAAATCGTCCAAAATATGTTTGATCTAATTGATTCCACTAGTTTAGTCTTCAAATCAGATTTAAACATGTGAAGCCAGAATGCATTTATCCTTGTACAGAAAGCAGGAGTTGTATTAAATATGAAGGCAAGCAGTTTTTTGGCCCGCATGGACATTGTGGAAGATGTCATTTAAATATTTTAATGATTTGGATGAAGGAAACTGCTCAGGAAATTAAACAATGGGCGTTCGTAAGACTTGGTAATACTGGTAAACAGACTGTAATCCCATTAGGAGCATTATTTGGCTTGAATATTGCAGTGCATATGATGAAGTACTGAAACATTGCTCAGCAACTGGGATTTGGACTTTGAGTGGCAATGACATATGAACCTCTGCATGGTTTTAAAGTGTGCTATTTTTGGCAGCCGGGTGTTGGCTTGCGTCCTCAGTAGCAGTAGAAAGTTAGTTTAGTGTATAGAGGAAGGTGATTTGCAATGAGAAGACTCCTCTGACACTGCTTATTAACCATGGGCTGCTGCTTCAGTAAAGAATTGAGTAACAACACGAATGAGGAGAAAACCAGCTTGTTACAAAAATCTGTGGAAGAGGAAGCACAAGAGTCAAGGATAAGTAAAACTTTATCTTCAATTTTAGGAACTGTGGAAAGCCAGGGTCTGCATACAGTGGGAAGGACAGTTAACGGGGCAGCTGCAATAGTCGGCATTGAATGCGTTGATAGTGATGATGGCGCAGCAGCAAATTCTAAATCTGGGTTCTGGGATAGAAAAGCCAAGTATCCGTCACAAAAAAGCGTGGAGAATACTCCCCATGAGAGCTCTAGGAGAACGTATGACAGACCTTTTAGCTTCTTTAATTCCTTTAGTCACCTCCTGAAGGTCTCTGGTAGATACGAAAATCTGCAGAAAAGTGAAGGAAAGAAAGATAGGGTTATTAAAAAAAGAGCACCTAAAAAATCTAATAGCAATGGTCAGCACGTGAACAATATAGAAAATATGAATAGTAATATTAATAATGAAAATATAGCTTCAGAAGAGCATTGCTTGTTTGATCATACTTCCACTTCACATGTACCAGACATCCTAGCCAAAGGCTTACAGGGCGAAATTTCCTTAAATAGAAATTTTCTGGAGGATTATGCAGTTACATGTGACCATTCAAAGCAGAATGAAACAACAGTAAATGTTGAAGGTGACAAGAGTGACAGCCTACAAAAAGTTTCAAGTTCATACAGAGAGATGTCTCCAACACTTTCTTATCTTGATGTAGACAACAGTCAAAATACAAAAGATAGGGAATTTTACAGTATTTGTGTTGTAGATGCTGAAGATCTGAAAGGGGATGAAGAGGTGCCAGCTACTGTGCATGAAGGGATTGCAGCAGACATAGATAACTCAGCTGTTAGTGATGAAGGAATGTGCAGTGTGACACAGCCTCTAGACACTGGGGAGGAATTTCCAATGCAGCTATTGGCACAAGTGGAAGCTAAGCTTAATTCACAGAAAGAACTGTTTGAGCATAAAAAAGAGGATAGGTCAGACATGCAGAAAAAGGAAACAAAGGAATATAGTAGCACAGACATCCCATCTTCTGATGATAATTTACCAGTTAACAGGTGTCAGGTGCATAGGTTAAATACTGACAATACAGTAATAGGTGACTTAAGAGCAAAAGTTGTCCCTGAGAATCAACAAGAGGAGGTATATACCATAGGTAATGCTGACAGTTGGAATGAATCCCTCCATAGAGCTTATGATTCTGTAAAATTTGCGGATGCTGCTGAAGAGGACCGATACAGCACTAATTTGGAAAACATGAAACACGGTGATCGTATTTCTAACGTGTTGTTAAACACTGAAGTACGTAATTCAGGAAAAATTGAGGAAAGTCTTGATTCTGAGGTTGTACCATTTGGTTTAAGTAGGCATGGCTCAAGTGTTGTAACGGAAACAGTTGCTAAACAGGTGGCAGAGAACATGAGAGGTAACTTTAAATTATCATTAGAGTTACATGAAATGGACAATGATTCTTTTTTGGTGAGTCAACATGTAGAAAACCTTGAAGAAGGCTGCTTCCTAAAGCCAGAAAGTGAAGTAAACTCAAATGTGAAAGAGAGAACATTTCGAAGAACGTATGGTGATAGCCAAACGTTTGCACCTGACTCTAGTGAACTTCACAGTGTTTTGGAAGAAATCTTGAAAGATAAAGAGAAATGCACAGGTACAGTTTTGCATTGCTGTGAAGCTTTGAATATGACTGAAATGCATGAAAACTTGGAAGAAAGTTCTGCTTTTCAAACTCCTATTAATGTTTGCACTGAAAACAAGGCATCAGCTGAAGTTGCAAACCTTAGTGGCATGGAGGAGGATGTCTGTGTGAATATTGCTGAGCTAAAAGGTGATGTGCTTGAGGAAGCTGGTAGCTTGAGCAGAACTCAATCATGGGTAAGTGACGGCACTTTGACTTCTCATGAACTACATAACACAAGTGCAGATGAAATGCTTCTAAAGGAAAACAGCCTAGAGATTTCACAAGAGTCACCAGAGAGTAAAGGTAAAGTGTGCAAACATTCAAATTCAGATGACAAAAACAGTCTCTCTTCTGTGTCTGTGGAACATGAGGCTATGAATAAAATAGACATGAACTGTAGACAAGATGAGCAACAGGAAGTATGTTCCTTCCACTCAGTGGAAAATCAGTGGAATGCAGGGACTGACTCAGCCAAAATAGCTGGGGATGTAGTAGAATCTGTAAAACAGACAAAATTTGAAGTTCACCTAAGTGAGACAATTGATAACAAGGCAGAAAACGTAAAACAGAATTTGGATGCCAACATTGTTGATCATGATAAAAATATCTCAAATTGCAATAAAGGCTTGCCTCACGATCAGAATACTTACTGTAACTCCCCTGTGCCTGTAGCTTTTGACAGTTGTTTGTACAAGAGTGTAAAATTGATAGATGACACTAAAAATCTGGAAGATGCCAGAAATCTCTTTCATGAAGCCCATAATTGTTTACCTTCATTGTGTCAAAATTCATATTCTCATGTGCATGAAAAACCAGCGGAAGAGCCTGAGTTATGTCACTGTGCCAGTCCAGAGCCAGAGGTTGGGAACACCCAAGTTTCTGTTGGGCCTTTTACTGAAGTAGGATCAGAAACTCATGAAAAAAGTGTTTGTGATGCAAGTGAATGTACTCTTCAGGATGGTGAAGCGAAACAGTGTGTGAGCATCCAGTCAAAGGAGGAGAACCTCACTGGGTTTAGTATGTCAACTGGGAATCTAGAAGTTTTTACCGTGGAGAATTTAAAGCAGTTAGAAGCCAAGGCTGCTGAACTGAAGAACACCAGTTACATATTAAATACTCAGATGAGTGACTTGACCACAAGTTGGGAACAGATGCAATCAGATCACAAGATTTTCTCAAACAAAGAGCTTGGAGTTTTTGTTGACCCAAAGCAGGTAGACAAATATGCTGCTACTCCGTCCTATGAAATACACAGTGCCTCTGCTGGTGCAGCAGGATTTCAGCGAGGCAGCGAGCAGTGTGTGTTAGATCTGATGGAAGACGTATTGAGTGACCAAGAGCACTCTTATGAACTGGACAGACAAAATGCCCAAGTTGAAATATGGTCACATGTCATCGGTCTTCAGACTGGCAATGCTGATTGGACAAATCAGCTATTTTCTGACACAGTTACTGCTGCTAATGGTGAATATCTGATGGGCTTTTTATGGAATAATGTAATTTCTAACAATACCGTGAAGAATGACAGACTATGTATAGTTAGTGAAAACTTCCAGAACAAACCTGAAGATTTAACAGCTGCTTCATACGCACTGGGAAGATACCCATCTCAGCTGCTAGCACCAGAAAATGTTGGTACTTGGGGATGGCAAGACGAATTTGTAAGTATTCTGCAGAAATGATTTGATATTAAAGCTTAAAGCTGAAGCTAGAAATTGGAATAAGCCAAGTCAAACTGTGGTTTCATTCGATAGTTAAATAGATCACGTTACTTTGTCCTGAAGCTGACCACTCTCTCTTTCCTTTACAAAACAAAATGCTATACAGAATGTAGTAGTTCAAAATGTTGCTGACTATTGAATTTTTTTTTCTTTTTCCTTTTTGGTTCTGTTTTCCTTGTGTGGAAGTTTAAATGTTGGCAAAGTATCTTGATTGCAAAATCTCAATTCTAGATCAACTTGAGATGAAGGCTTCAGCAAGTGGAAGGGAAACTTTCTGCAGACTGTTAATAGTGCTCTTTACCTTCATATAGGAAGAAATGTTTGTGGATTTCCTGAAATCTTAAAGTTCTTGCTTGGTAGCAATTAGGAAACCTTTTGCTCACTTCGGAGATGATCTTCTGAAGTGCTGCAGGAGAAGCGTGGGGAATGAGCTAGACTGGATCTTGGCTAGCAGGGATAAGAAAGAAACAAAGCCAACCTGCAGCAGCTGCTGCTCCTCTTCCTTCCCCGCTGAGCAGAGCTGGCGCTTTGTATTGTTCTCCAGCGACTGCGTTACAACAGCTGCTCTGACCTTGCCCCGCGCTTGCAGTGCCAGCAGTGGATTGTACTAGAGGCGAAGTTTGCTGTCTCCTGGGGCAACTTTTTGTCTTAAAAATGGAAACCGATGGAACTTGCTGTCATCTTTGAATCCTTACTATTCAAGTAGTTGTGTCGAACCATTCCACTTTTTGCAAGTCTTCATCATTCAGTACATGTGTTTAAGTTGAGATTCTTTAGATCTTTCTACCTTCTGAATCTATTTTCTATGCACTATAATAACGACTGAGTTCATGTGTTTCAGAATAATTAAAGCTTCATGGAGTTTCGAAGAACCTGTCTTAAACTCTATAATGTTCCTAGCATCTGTAAATTCATGAAACAAATTTTAATAAGCT